GGAGCGAGGCCGGTGGAGTAATTGATAATGAGCGACACCTGCACCACTCACCGGTCTCGAGTCCCACGGAGGAGCTCCGGAAGGATAAAAGGGAGGAGTGACGACCGTGTCGAACGAGAGAGGACCAGGCCTGGAGTTTATTTTGTGTTTTGTGTGCGGCAGTCGTCCGCGAGGGGCTTTACTTTCGTTTTGTGTTTGTTTATTTGATTAAAATTTTGTTTAAGTGTTCGCCGGTTCCCGCCTCCTTCTTCCCGTGACTACGAACTTTGTTACAATAACCATTTAAACTAAATTGTTGCATCTTTTATGTTCAGGTCAGTTTTGACTCAGAAGTGAACTGTGGCTTTACACATCAAATTATGTGTTTTTAATTTAATTGAATGTAATTAATTTGAATAAATGAAATATTTTTAATTTCATTTATATTTTTAAAATATTATTTTAGCTATTTTTATATTTTGTGAGAATGTCACTTTATTTCCTTACATGAACATCTCCATACATTTCTTCAAACATGCATAAAAATAATGTATTTACTCTAGCAGCTGTTGATTAATAATTCATTGCAATGTTTCAGTTTTTCAGTTGGTCTTACATACCTAAGCAACAAGCAGTTGCTTTTGTTTGCAGTTTTTATCTGAGTAGGCAGCATGAGATAAGATATTTTTGCAGACAAAAATGTTTGTGTAGTGTGTGTGTGTGTGGGGGTGACATGGCTGTGGTTTAACACGCTCTGGGGTCTCAAGCAGCTGACTTGCCAAATCATGCATACTATGCTGTGCCAGTGCTTCATAAAGTAGAGCTCTACCTGATTATGGACTTGTGTCAAAAGGTTTGATATGTGGCTATATTTTCTTATCATCGCTATTAAATAATATAAGCAAATATGTTGAAGTAACGTTTAATTTTTAAAGTATAGACGGATTAAATGTGTCATGCATTTGTATTAGTGGATATATGTGGTGTTTTTTGTCAGTCCATTTCATGTAACTTGTAAAAAGTTTACCTATTTGTTTTGACTGATGTGTGACATATACATTTACTAGCTTCGCTTCATAATACTGCTTTCAAAGAATCAGGTTACTGGACATTTTGCTAGGTCGTTAAATCAATTTTTGGATTGGAGCTTCAAAAAGTCAGTCACACATTTTCATATGTGTTTACTGACACTTTAAAAAATAATGAGAAGGACTTACATACTGTACATTATCTTGCCTTGACATCTTTTGAGATGTAGCTCATAAAAACGCGCTAGCAAAGTTCCGGTCAGCAAACTTTATGACCTTCAGCTGCTGAATTTCTATGGTGGTGCTGAGATCTTCACAGATATAGTCATATTCTTTTTCTGAAGCTTGTAGAAATCTAAAAATACAGTTATGATGTAAAATATTTTTATAACAATTATAAATGCGTGTTTCTCATTCCTAAACAGGACATTTGTAGCAATCCACAGTTCATTCTTGGGGGAGCCAACAGGACAGATATCTGCCAAGGAGACCTGGGTAGGAAAGCGCAAATATAGGACAATCTAAATACATAATGTGTCCGGGGATGCACCAATATTCAAGTTCAAGATGATATTGATAGCAAATAATTATTTTCTGTCATGGCATGATCAATGGGCAATATTAAAATTCTATTTTGTCTGAAAATAAAATTACAATTCTATTTTGCCTATAAATCATTAAAAAAACTAGTATCAATCATTTTAAATGCTAAGTGAATTTGGGCACAGTATAAAAAGTAGATATCCACTTTGAAATTTGCTAAAGATTACTTACATTTAGATTACTAAATGTAATCTAACTACATAGCACCCGCTTGTGACCTGCATACAGGAATGCCACCCATTTCCTTTTCTCTCAGCGTATCCAAATACACTGTTGGAAAATAGATCGGTTGCGAGACACAGAAGGCTTGAAGAAATGAATAAAGTTTCCGCTGTGGTATCCGTGTTGCGGTGCTGTGTTCCACAGAGGCATCCAGTGAATGCAAGAGGTGCGCAGAGCAAAGGCGTTCATTTATGCACCTGTACAGTGTACAGTATACCCAACGTTTTTCAGTTCAGCTTTTTGTTAAACTTAAACCTTTTGATTTTTTTTCCATGAGAAATAATGCATTATTTAATTAATTAATTTTTACTTTGGTGAAGGTGAGTCCACTATTTTTTAAATATTGTACTGGGGCTGTACAAGTCATGCATAATGCATTATATTCCAAGCATAAAATATTTTTATATTGTACAAGACCTAACTGAAATTAAACAATAAATGAAACAATGTGGCAAAATATTTCGAATATATAAAATATATATTGATGGAATTAATATATCTAAATATTTTAGATATTTAATAATATTTTAATTTCTATGTTTCTATATTCTATGCTAATATTGTATTTCTGTTTTTATTTGTATGACTTAATATTGTTGATTAAAAGGTGGTGCAAACCCCTAAAACAATGGGTTACAGCAAATATACAGGTGCATCTCAATAAATTAGAATGTCGTGGAAAAGTTCATTTATTTCAGTAATTCAACTCAAATTGTGAAACTCGTTTTGAGTTGAATTACTGAAATAAATGAACTTTTCCACGACATTCTAATTTATTGAGATGCACCTGTATACATTTACATACCCTTACATTTCTATTTTGAAAATAAAGTGTCACCTATATTTAATAAAAATATGTGTTGTAATGCTATGTAGTGAAACATTAATTTTGTTGTTATATTAACATCTACAGGAGACTGCTGGCTGCTGGCTGCCATTACTTGCCTGACCCTGAATGATATAGTCCTGAAGAGGGTGGTTCCCCATGACCAGAGCTTCACTGAAAACTATGCTGGCATTTTCCATTTCCAGGTATGGGCATCAAAACTGGACCATCCTGTATTTCAGATATAGTTTCTGATATAAAAACTTGAAAAGAAGCACAAGCTCACCTATTTTAAACAGACTTTGTCTATTCTTCTAGTTCTGGCGCTATGGGGAGTGGGTGGATGTGGTTGTGGATGATCGACTTCCTACATACAAAAACCAGTTGGTGTTTACTAGGTCTGGACAGAAGAATGAATTTTGGAGCGCTCTTCTGGAGAAGGCATATGCAAAGTAAGTTAAACATCTTAGTTGTTTGTTAGTTATGTAAACAGTAACACCATAATACTTTGTCACTGTAGGCCTGTTTATGCTCTTCTAGATGTGCTTTGCTTGTATCAAAAATCAGTCCAAGGTGCTAAATGTGACCATTTGACTTCTGGATCCCAGGTTACATGGCACTTATGAGGCTTTAAAGGGAGGAAACTCACTGGAGGCCATGGAGGACTTCACTGGAGGAGTAACTGAGTTCTTTGAGATTACAGAGGCCCCGAAGGACCTGTACAACATCATGAGAAAGGCTCTGAAGAGAGGGTCCCTTATGAGCTGTGCCATAGATGTACGTATTCTAAATGTACTGGATGCTGTTCTGGTTAAAAACCAGCTGTTAAATATATCTGATGCTTCTATGTGTGTGCAGTGTCTAAAATTAGCTTAAAAACTATTGAGCTTATTGTTACACACTCCTCCACTTGTCTATGTTTGCACATTTCAGATAGACTGTCAGTCTGTGCATTAGTGCTGGGAGTCTTTCATTCAGTCTCTCTGCAGGTTACATCAATATGTCAGTAGGTGGTAGCAAGTGTTTTCAGTGAGTCATTGAATCCTTCATTCAAATGATCTGTTCAAATAGAATGATTTATTTAAGAAGGAAACAAATGAATGGCTGCATTAATTTGTTTGCAAAAGTAATTTGTTTGCAACCGTTAAAAAGTACTATCTATGAATGTGTGAAGTGTGAATGTAATTCGGACATTTTACATTTGTCATGTTGTCATTGTCATTTGACCTACCAGTGTCAGTCGCATTGCTTCAGTACCATTCACTGCTCTCCCATGGCCTCATGGGATAGTAAAGAGTCCATCAGATGTGCACTTCAGAGTCTACTGTTTTATGAATACTATGAATTGGGACATCCTACCTTTGATTACCATATACAGTAGTAAGGAAGTATGAGTTTTTGGATGTCTTTATAAGTGAATAATTAAATCAGCCATTCAACCAATTAATTCAAATACAATGATTCTTTCAGGAGTGAAACCCTGCTATGGTATGTTTGCTCAGAAACGTGAAATGGTTGATTGCTTGGAGTTAGTTTTGAGCTATTTTCATTGGCGGAGCAAAAATAAACTTGCAATATATTGTGTCTAAAATGACTGAACTGTTACTGTAACTGTTACACACAATCACAGTCCAACGCTTGCTCATGTGATATTTATTAATTATATAATTAATTGATATCACATATATAAAGTAAAATAAAGCATTTTAATTAAAACTGCTGCATTACTGTGACATTAATGTAATATGGCATTCTATTTTGCTTCTGCACAGATTTTGGTTCCAACTGCTCAAAGGACTAAAACGGCATCTGGACTCGTGAGAGGCCATGCATATTCAGTCACTGGAGTTGAGCAGGTGGGCTTGTCATGTAATGGAGCATTTGTATCCGTCACATCTTAATACAGAACATTGCGTGAGGATATATACAGTCCTAGCCAGTGTTATTTTAGTAGCACTGAGATTACTATGATAGTTTTAATTAATATTTAGGTTAATAATAAGGTTCCATTAGTTAATGTTAGTTAATGTATTAACTAACATGAACAAACAATGAACAATACATTTATTGCAGTATTTATTAATCTTAGTTAATGTTAGTTAATGAAAATACAGTTGTTCATTGTTAGTTAATGTTAATTCACAGTGCATTAACTAATGTTAACAAGCACAACTTTTGATTTTAATAATGCATTAATAAATGTTGAAATTAACATTAACTACGATTAATAAATGCTGTAGAAGTATTGTTCATGCTTAGTTCTTGTTAACTAAAGTAGTTAAGTAATGTTAACTAATGGACCTTATTGTAAAGTGTTACCTTTTTTAAAGAAATATTGCTTAGGAATTTAGATTTAAAAATGTTTTTTATATTTCATTTTATTTTATTTCAAGTAACAGAATGTTTTTTTTATGGTTTTAGTTTTAACCCTGGTCCTAGCTTATATCAGCCACATCTTTCAATGCAATAGCAAAAACCTTGTTCACAGGGTAAACGTAAAGATGGTAAAGACCTTATGATCTGTCTTGTTCGTGTGCGAGACCCCTGGGGAGTTGCCCCCCCTCCTGCCTGTAAGTCTAATGACTGGGCTGCACTAGCCACATCTGAGCAAGAGAAGGAGAGACTCCGGCCTACAGAGCAAGGGGAGTTCTGGTTAGTGCGCTGCTTTTACGAGACCATCAGGCTTCCAGGAAGTCTCAAACAGTCTATTATACTTGATTTAATACTCATAAATGGAAGTTGGTCCCTCTTATCATTTTGCTCATTTTTCTTCACTCAAGGATGTGCTTTGAGGAGTTTAAGAAGAACTTTACCAAACTGGAGATCTGTAATGTCACCCCAGACACTCTTGAGGATGACAAGATGCTCAAGTGGAATGTGACCATACATGAGGGCCGATGGGTGAAAGGCTGCTCTGCTGGTGGCTGCAGAAACTTTCTGGGTATCTAATATAATCTTGCAACATTGTAGACTCGTTTGCCCTCATGAGATGGTTTTAAAAGCACCTTACTGTACATTAACAGATAATCTAGATTAAAAATAAAAAAAAGTTTTTATATTTTATTTGAGTTAGTTTTTATTTAAAGGGATCATATGATGCTATTTTAAAGATCATTATTTTGTGTATTTGGTGTAAGAGAATATGTTTCTGTTGTAAATAAATCTTAACCAATGATTCCTAATTGCATCTACTTCCGGAAGGCCAAATAAAGTGCTTTTGCTTTCGAAACTGAATCACACAGCGTCTCACTGACATGGCTGCATCAACACTACTGCGTTCCTGAAACCACGCCTTCTTTCTTTGCGTGCACATTTGGGCGGCATTATGCTAATATTTCCACATAGTGATGTAGATATGTGGGGGCGTGTTAGAACGAGCCGTTTTAGGTAGGTGTGGTTGAATCTTAACTTTTATAAAGAATATCTCTTTGGATTTGAGACTTTAGTCTTTGCAACTTTACAGATCTTCTTTATGCACCAAGAGCTTGTAACACTCCAAAGAGAAAGGAAAACTTGAAATCGCATCATATGACCCCTTTAATTGTAATGAAAATGTTTTTATGTTTTTTTAACTAAAAAAATTTAAATATAAATATAATTTCACAATAATCCCCACACCACTAATCAAAGCTCTTTCTGTCGATTTTGTCACAGATACATACTGGACGAACTCTCAGTTCCGCCTGGTTCTTCTGGAGGCGGACACTAAAGAGAAGACCTGTACGGTGGTGGTGGCATTAATGCAGAAGGACAGAAGAAAAGAGCGCTGCTCAGGTGCCACCCTACACAACATTGGCTTCGCCATCTATGAGGTGCGCTCAATTAAACACCCTCAGTACAAAGAACAGTTACATATGTAATCAACACTCTTTAAAATAAATATACTTTATTGGCATTTGTAGTTCCGTGGAACCTTTCACATGCACAAACTGTTCTTTATAGTGGAAAAAAGGTTCTTCAGATTATGTTCTTCACACTAAAAAAAAGAATTACTAAAAGAACTGTTCACTGGAAGGTTCTTCTATGGCATTGGTTGACCTTTATTTTTTTTGGACTAAATGTGCAAGGCTAAATGACCTGTGTTTGTTAGCAGTTTAATAACTTACAGTTTTTCAGTTAATTACCATGGTTGCTGATTTATCTTAACACTGATTTACAGGTTCCTAATGAGGTATGACTACATCATGAAGAGACCGCAGTGATGACATCATATGTCAGTGTGACTGCATATAAACAGACACATCTTTGTTGTTTGCCAGTACTTCATTAAATTTAAAGGGTTAGTTTACCCAAAAATTAAAATTAGCCCATAAATGACTTACCCTCAAGTCATCCTAGGTGTATAGGACTTTCTTCTTTCAGACGAATCCAGTCAGAGTTATATTAAAAATTGTCTTTGATCTTTCAAGCTGTTTCATGGCACTCAGCGGGTGTTGCATGCTTCAGTCCAAAACAAGTTAAATAAAAAACGCCCATCCATAAAACAAAATGTCTCACACGGCTCCGGGGGGTGAACAAAGGCCTTCTGTAGCAAATCGATGCGTTTTTGTAAGAAAAATATCCATATTCAAAACTTAATAATCACTTTATTGTAGCTTGCGCTCACTGTTGTACACGGAAGCAGTTCCGGGCTGATGACGTATGAGGTCAGCGCTGCGCATGCGCCAGTGCGTCTCGTGAAAACCAACGTTTGTTAACAGGAGCAAAGGAAGCAAAGTTTCCTTACTTTAGCAAAGGAAAACCAGTCTCCTCTTGGCTTATATCGAAATCCTCCGACATTCTTCTTTACAAATCCTCGTTTTGTACTTCTAATTCTTGACCGTTGTTTTGTTTTGATCTCTCCCCTCCGCTTCCGCGTGCGTTGGTTTTCACGAGACTCACCGGCGCATGCGCTACGCTGAACTCATACGTCATCCGCCTGGAACTGCTTCCCTTCACAACAGTGAGCGCAAGCTACATTTAAGTGATTATTACGTTTTGAATATGGATATTTTTCTTACAAAAACGCATTGATTAGCTACAGAAGGCCATTGTTCACCCCCCAGAGCCGTGTGAGACACTTTTTTTTTTTATGGATGGGCGCTTTTTATTTAACTTGTTTTGGACTGAAGCAATGCAACACCCGCTGAGTGCCATGAAACAGCTTGAAAGATCAAAGACAATTTTTAATATAACTCCGACTGGATTCGTCTGAAAGAAGAAAGTCATATACACCTAGGATGACTTAAGGGTGAGTAATTTATGGGCTAATTTTCATTTTTGGGTGAACTAACCATTTAAGTCCTTAAATCTGTTCAAACCGAAACTATAAACATTCAACCACCAACTAAAGTTTAATTACTGCATGATGTATTTGGTCATAGAAAACCTGTAAATATCAGGGAATTTAAAAGTTGTGATTTTAGGTCTAGAGAACTCTAAAAAGAATACAGATTTTTCTCAACTATAAAATATTTGTTTATTTCATTTGGCTGGACAACGAATAATAATGAACAACTAGACTAAAAAAAAACAAAAACAAAAAAAAAACATTACGAAATTCTTTTCCATATTCCATAAAACCATTTCACTCTAATTGTAGTCTATAGTAATAAAACTCAAAATAACTCATGTATTTCTTTATTTTGAAATGTTCTATCTGCTATCCTGATTTTAGATGAAGGGCAACCAACAACAGCTGCCAAAGGACTTCTTCATTTATAATGCTTCTACAGCTCGCTGCAAGTCCTATGCCAACATGCGTGAGGTGACGGAGCGTTTTTGCCTGAAACTGGGCGAGTATGTCATTATCCCATCCACCTTTGATCCCCACAAGGAGAGCGAGTTTCTGCTCCGAGTCTTCTCTGAGAACAGGAGCACCTCAGAGTGAGTCTTAAAGCCACAACAGAACTGTTGTGTGTCACCAAGCAACACACTATTTCTGAATGAATCCGTGTTTTTAATGAATGGGGGTGACCCAATGATTGAATGGCCCATTCATAAAGAGAGCCATTTACTTCATTCCTGAATGAATCAGCCGAATCGAAAGAAAGAATGAATGAATGACTGCTTCATAAAGTTATTTACTGCAACCTACTGGTCATCATTTCATTAAAAAAAACATATTTACATATTAATAAAAAAATCTGAAAATAAAAAAAATGATATTTAATTAATAAAAAAATAATTAAAGTGACAGTTCATCCAAAAAAATTACTTTTCATTTAAAATAAAAAAAAATTAAAAAAAAACTTTTTTTACTACTTTTTGTAGTATGTATTTCATGCTTTTCTCATGTAACACACTAATGACTTTAAATGATCTGTTGTGGGTAATATGCAATTAATTAATCACCACATCATGTAATTAATTAGATAAATTGTAATTGATTGACAACCTTTATATATATATATATATATATATATATATATATAATGCTTCATATACAAATGTACATGAAATATGTATCTGTTTTTCTATCAAAACTTTTCAATGAAAATTATTATGTATTGATGATAAATTATATTGTTTCAAATTTAAGCTCTTGTTACAGTCAGATATGTTTCTGAAAGAACCTCTTGACCTGCTAATGCTCCTGTATTTGGCTGACAGCTGCATGTTTTCTCGCAGGGTTATAGGTGCAGAGATTGAGGGGGATTCTGTGGTGAGTCCACACTTGTCTCTGTCTGTCATGTTCTGCGGCACCTCATATTTCATCCTGTCTCTGTGCTTGTCTATCAATCACTATGTCAAGTAGTTTGGTCTCTTGAATATAGCAGATCATTAATTTAGAAGTTTTAGTACAACCGAACAAAAGAAGTAACACCCAGATTGTTTCTTCTCTTCCTCTTCATAATCGCAAAAGAGAATTAAAAAAAAATATTTTTATATCTAATATGTTTCACTTTCTTATACCAACAGATGGATGATGTCAAGAAGAAAATCAAGGTAAATATGGAAATGTGATGAAGATGTTCCATCAGTTTCTTTCCTTTCTTGTTTGATATTCTATGTCAGCCCATGTCAGATGATAAAAAGGATAAAAAGATGGAAAAGGAGATGAAAAATCATTGTGATGTTGTTAATTGGCTGCACTGCTGTAGATATGCAGCTCTGTTTTTATTTTCTGTTCTGCTTCAGTAATAACAAACAGCATGTGCACAGCATGAGCTAGTACAGTATGTCAAAACTATAATTCATAATGACACTCAGAATCATAATAATAACCACAAAACTCCCTTGTTGGGATGTAATTCTTATTTGCAACAGCCACAGAAATGTTACAACTCTGATCTAAAGACCATTTATAAGCAAAGATGAAGTGGATTTGCTCTTTTTTATGAAAAAAGTGAAGAAAATAAATCTAAACACTGAACTGTTTAAAGGCACATGCACACAGATGTTTAGTATGTTGTACATTCCGTATTTCTTATTTCTCATGTTCAGCCATTTGAGGAGGAGGAGACTGAAGAGGAAAAGCAGTTCAGAGCCATCTTTCAGCAGTTAGCTGGAGACGTGAGTTGAGTTATGGAAATGCATGTTTGAATGCCATATTCACTTCACATCATTGTGACTCTTTCTTCTGGCAGGACATGCAGATTAATGCCAATGAACTCAGAACTGTCCTTAATAGAGTGGTTGCCAAACGTGAGTAAAATCTTATTGTCTGCCACTGATTCTATTTTGTATGTCTTTGTCTGTATAGGGTTTTGATTATCTATCCATTCCTTTCTTCAGATAAAGAGCTGAAAACAGAGGGGTTCAGTCTGGAGAGCTGCAGAAGTATGATTGCACTTATGGATGTATCCTTCACTAGATCTGCTGTGCATTATGGGCAAATAATGTATGTATGTGCAAAATCACATTGGGCAAAATCCAGTCATGCCAATAGGAATCAGCATAATCAGGAGTTTCCCGTGAGGGTGAAAAAGTTCCCCACACAGACTTTGCTCATTCTCAGGTTTGTCACGTGAATTCAGCACATTAAAAAACAGAAAGCAGCTGGGTTTGAAAATGCCATCTGTGTGATCAGTGCTTCATACATCTCTATGCCATTGACAACTAGCCTTTTTTTGCCAATGAAATTTTGCAGGCAAAAAAGGTCCAGTCTACTTTGTCATTGTATAGCAATGTATGAAGCACAGCTCATATAGACGTAAAACCCAGCAGCTTTCTGTTGGTCAGTGCAGTGAATTCACATGACCAACTTTAACCCGTTGTGAAATCTGCATGGGGAAAACTTTTGCCTTCAAATTAAATTCCCAATCGCGTAGATACTTTTGAAATGACTGGATATTGAACTCGAAAATTCACTGAACAACGGTGAATGTAACTGCACCTTAACATTTCTAAAGCAAAGAAATTAAATCCGGCAACCAACAAAAATGGGTTTGTAAATGGTTGCCTACTCAAAATTTAGAAAAGAACATGGAAGAAAAGCAATTACTCAGCCTAATCCAGCAAATGAATAAATAAACTATGCTATGCCCAAAATCGCCCCCATACTCTTAAATAATGCACTATTTGAAGTAACAGCCATTTATAATGGTGTCCAAAAATATAGTAGACATTGAGTGCACTCATTTAATCCTATAATTCACCGCAATAAGAAGTGTTCTGTACAACCGATGTACACTCAACTGCTTGCTCATTCATTTTCATTCACTACTGAACAGACAGATTTTTTTTTTTAAATGCAAAGTATTGAAAATCAAAATAAAGCTCTGTAAAGACTTACATATTTACAACACTATAAGTGTGTCTCACTGGGTAATGAAAAGTTCTACACACACTTGTGGTCTTCATGCCCACTTGAACACTTGGGCCAAATACAGGAAATACATCAATTAAGTAGACAAGTGGTCAAGTGCAAAGATCGCAAGTGTGGGTATTTGGACAGGACCTACCCTGCGTTCCATTCGGAAGGATTCATCCCTATGCCCTAATCCCTTCAAAGGGTTTACCCTCCAGAGTGAGACCTTCAAAGGGAAGAAGAGTGTATGGGTAAAAAAAAAAAAACGCACTTCTGTGTCCCCTTAACGAGACGATCAAGGAAGCGCCTTCGTCGCACATTTTGTATGCTGGTTGACCCCCAATCGCCTTTTACGTTAAATATAATGTATATTTGTATATGTAATGTAATGTAATATGTATTTGTAATGTATATTGGGTGTCTATGTATTTGAAACATTTGAATGTACTGATAAAGGTAGCTATAAAGTATTTTTGTTAAAGTACAATGTCATTTTGACCATAATAATGTACCAAATCTAACTCGTATAAATATTACAGTAGTATAGAAAAATACTATGCATACATTTATAGGTGAAGTTGAATTCTGTGACGCCAAACAACTTCCCTGTGCAAAGGATCATGGGGTCCATCAGGTGTACCCTTCGAAATCCTTCATTCCGAAGAGTCCTTTTAAGTGGCCAGTTTTGAGCACTTCGGTTTGGAACGACCCTTCAATGTGACGGCCATGATTGTTTTTACTTAGAAGTGCCCTTCAGAGAGAGATATATCCCGTTTGGAACGCACCGCTATACATCCTTCTCCCATCTTCCTCTCTGTAGATTGAAATTACTTTTTACAAGCATGTGAACGGTGCACCTTGTGGACTGGGTGATTTGTCACAAATAGTTTTATTTCAAGTTTAAAATTTGTCGCATGCACAATGGCACAGCTGTACAAATGTAACTTAACCACGACACCTTAGACTGATGGAACAGGCCACCTAAACCTGCAAGAGTTTAAACACTTATGGAACAAGATTAAAAAGTGGAAGGTATGCAATTGTTTTCGCCTTCATAAAGCATGTCCAGTCATGTTCTTTTGTAATACACTGTATTACAACAAAATGTTAAAGCCATAGACACACGGCTTCTCTGTAAACTATTTTCAGCTGGTGTTCACACGTTTTGACACCGACAAATCCAGTACGATCAGCAGTTTTGAGATGAGGAACGCTCTTACTGAAGCAGGTCAGGCAGTCAGATGTATTTATTTAACTTGATGATATACACATTTTTACTGAGATATTTCTCTGTCCCTCAGGTTTTCAACTCAACAACCAGCTGTATGACATTATTTGCATGCGATACGCCAACGAACACATGGAGATGGATTTTGACAGCTACATTAGCTGCTTAGTGCGACTTGAGGGAATGTTCAGTAAGTGTGATGGTCTTTTCTGTTCAGACATATTCTTCTTCTAAAATAACTAAGTTCATTAAGGCATTACAACCAAGATTTTGAGATGCAAGTTTGTAGCGATCGGATACTTGTAGTAAAAGGGATTCTTCTACAGGGGCATTCAGAGCCTTTGACAAGGATGGAGATGGCATTATCAAGCTCAATGTTTTTGAGGTGAGCAGCATCTTTTTTTCTTAATTTGTTTATTGAATATTAACAGAATAAAGATGTACAAGCAGCATAAATTTTAATCATATTTGCATTATTATTGGAACACATTTGGTCATATTTGTACTGATCACTGCTATTTACACTCTAACAAGTTACTGTTTTCTATACTATACACAGTGGCTTCAACTGACCATGTATGCCTAAAGACACAAACACATATAAGATCAACCTGGTGGAAAGTCAGTGGTCTTTTCCCGTTTTCAACCTCCATTAAGTGGAGAAAGATCTGGATTCGAATCAATTGTACTGTACACCACTGTGGCTTCTTTCTTCAGCAAATGCGGGTCTAGAACAAACTGGTTTGATTATGAGCTACTGAATGGACCATGACAGCTCATTTAGGTCTTGTAAAACACTTATTTGATCGACTGTATGTTTAAGATTGATATGACAATGTTGTCATATTAAATGTCATGCCAAAAATGACACTCATTTGAACCCATCCTTGAAAAATGTGTGTGCTACTGTGCAACTGTAAATAATTCAACTAAATAAAGTGTTCAACTTCGAACGGTTCTATTCCAGTTGTTACCATAGCCATGATTTGCAGAGCATAAACAAACAGCACAAAATAGTACAATAAATGTGACCCTGGACCACAAAACCAGTCATAAGGGTTTTATGATTACATTTATTCACAATTAACCTTGAGTATAAACAAAGCTTCTTGTGCTGGAGTAGCAAGAACACAGATAATAAAAACAAGTTAAAAAAACAATTATTTTGAACATTTTAAAATATTATTTCGATTCCTGTGAATAAAACAACTATAAACCTCTGAGAGCAAGAATGAATATGTTAGTTTGATGTCTTGTAAGCATTATTAACTGAACTGATGATTCCATATTACTACACTACTTACTGTACTAGGCAAAGAATGAACATATTCAACTGATGCTTTTTTGAAAGTCTTTTAACTGACCCGAATCTTCAGATGGATGGAAGCTTTGCTGGACTCTGAGATCTCCTTCCATGCAAAAACTTTCGAGCAAACTTTTTTTTTTTTTTAAACGTGTCAACATAGAAATGACATTATCATGCCAGAATCAGAGCAAAACATTTTCCTTTAGAATTAATCTGCATCTATCTAATCAAATTCATGCATAATCCAATGTGTCGGTGCCGATGGCCTCGTAGGCAGCGCGCCGACATACAGCGCAATTGCGCTTTGGGTTTCACGAGTTCGAGTCCCGGCTCGCGGACCTTTCCCGATCCCATCCCCCTCTCTCACACCCACTTCACTTCCTGTCGACCTATACTGTCCTGTCTAAATAAAAGGCATAAAACTTTAATAAATCTTAAAAAAAAATGCGTAATCCAATGTGAACTGCCATAAACCTACTATAAAACTACAACAAAAGTCTGTTATAATGGTGCCGTTATGGGCTTTGCAATGCAGTCTATGCTCTCAGATGAGATACATGCTCAGAGGTCAGTTTTGTGCACTGAGAGGTAGGTCCAGCAACAGATACTTCTAGAAGTGGGACATGTGGTTCAGCTGCTCTGTGAGGCTCAGTGAGTTGCTAAAGAGGAATCCTTCCTCACAGGTTCGCACGGCTGTCAGGAGGCATTTAACTCCTCCTGCAGGTCACCGGGATCTGTCAAAACATTTCAAGCATAAACAACAATTATGCATAATTATTAACAAGCATGATTACATGCACAATATTACTCTCAGACTTGAAATAAAAAAAAATACATACATTGTTAGTACATAAGCTGAACTGAATAAATAAACGAGACATTAAAAGAGCTCTTACTCTTTATATCCTGCAGAATCTTTATGCGCTTTGCCCTGAGCGAGGCCATCTCTGAGGTAACCTGTCAACAGAGGAATTTAAAGTTTAAAAATAATTATATGATTATTGTAGTCGTTG